CTCTGGACATTCTGGTCCCACTGGAACCTCATCTCCTGGCGACATGGACCCTAAGTATCCGAGGCAGGCCTAAGTGTGGGGGCGGTGCTACGTAATTTTGTGCTACTTTATTTTTTAACGATTTGTGGTTTTGACCCAAAAACATATTCTTACATATTTGTAAGAACTGCCAAAGGGACGGCCAGGAAGTGTGATGTTCTCAAGTCCCAAGGCCTGGCAGGGCCAGGCAGATCTAGAGGGAGAAACCACCTCTTCCTTCTCACCAGTGTCCTCCCTTTTGCTCCTGTCTCCCTCTTCTTCATTTTTACCTTTCACATCTTTATTTCCTTTATATTTAATCTGAAACTGGATATTCCACATTACGAACAGTGATGGCTAATAACGTTAAATATGCTGATGTTAAAGTTCGTTTTGGAGAGCACTGTTGGGCTGTGGTGGCTCTGTCCGCCTCAGTCTCCAGGGAAACTGGAAACAGTGGACATCTGCAGGCACCACAGCAGGCACCTCTGTGGCCTCAGAGCACCCAAAGTGCGGCCTCTACACCAAGAGCTGAAACTCATTTCATTTCATCCAGCTTGATTTAAATGAGATCACATGTGCATCTTGTTGGGATGGGTCCTAAAACTCCAGGATCACCCTGGACACAAACAACCTGTGGTCAGCACTAAAATCTACAAGCACAGAGCGACTGAAAACAAGCTCTGCAGGGCCCTGACCAAAGATCTTTAAAAAGTTACATACACAAGATGAAGGAAAGCCCAACAGGTCCTCTTTTCCTGGCCTTTAAACTTTAGGCTCATTCTCTGACTCCCCCAGGTGGAGAAAAAGAAGACAGCACCTGGGGAGGGAAGCGGCCCTCTCTGCAGGGCTCTGCTCCTCTGCCTTCCTGAGAAGCGGGGCTGGGGAGGCTGCCTGACCGTAGCAGCAGGAAAGCCTGTGTGATAAAGCACTGTCTTGCACCCAACCTCACCCCTGGCAGGTTCCAACGTCTAAGGAAATGCTGGAGTCTCTCGTCACTGAAATTCCTCTGGAATTCATGACTTGGGAAAAAATCACCACGACTCACGCTGGCTCCCGGCTCTCAAGGGCAGGTGGAAACCTCTCCGTGAGCATGCGACAGACTCTACCTGCACAGGAGGGGAGCAACAAGGGGCCAGCCAGCTCCCGGCAGGCAGCGTGCCCAACACTCCGAGTGGCCCCTGGAGCTGCCTCTCCTCTGTGGTGCTGCTTCCCTCCCTCCCAGCCCTGAACCCCGACACCGTGAGGACCACTAGGAGGCGGGAAAGGGAGGACCAGCGCAGGGCACTAAGAGCAGGCAGTTCCATTTCCCACGTGACACTCCACGTAGATTTCAGAAAGGACTTTTCAGGTACTCTTCCTTCGGCCCTCTCTGCATTTCACTGGAGCTTAGCTGAGGGCTGTATGGAAAACAGCTGGGAAGAGGATGGTGAAAATGAGGCAGGGCGGCCCAGTGGGAGCTGAGGAGCGGGGCTCTGGCCTGAGGCGGGAGGGAGTGGTCTCCAAGGCCACTCTGCCACCACTGCTCTCTCCAGAGACTTCCGCTGTCCTGTGCAACTCACTCAGGAGAAAAACCCTGCCAGGAGACAGGGGATAGTGAGTCCAAAGTACTTCTGAAGAGACAGTTGCACAAGACTCCTTTATGTTAACATGTAAAGGGTATACTGTTTTAAATTTTCCATTTTAATTTATATAAGAAGATTAATCCACCAACTAGCACCAAATGACCTTAAGCAAGTCTCAGCCTCCCTTCTTAGGGTACCAGGGGTTTGTGGGGACCGAACGCAAAGGGACAACTTATGAAAACAAGTCACTCCTAAAGGTAGATGGTGTCAAAATAAGCTCCCATGTCAGAGAAGATTCTTCAACTTTCCTTTCAGTAACAGATGTTATGTAAGAGTTGCTGCAGTGACTGTCAAACAAAACTTAGCCGAGCTGTCTGTGTGAAGTACACACCCAGAGAACACCACTCAGGTCACCTTTAAGTATTGAAAACAAATCACTCTCCGAAAAGCATTAACACTCTTGAAAAATGTTAACTTTGGACATGGTGTACACACACACACACACACACACACACACACAAACAACACACAAGAAACAAAACCAGAACAGAATGATACGGCAACACCATCCTATGGTCAGATCCTCCAAAATGAACTTTTGGATCTCAGCATGACTTACGAAGATTCTGAATATTCCTTAAACGTGTCTAATCATGTCTCCCCACACTGGAATGTTCCTGAGAGCAGCTGCTTTAAACACACCCCCTCTGTCAGTTTCCACATTTTCCAACTTCAAGCCAGCCGAGCTGGCTGTGGCCTTGTTCCTGAGTGATGTGCTACGAAATAACCCAGCAGCATGTACTACACAGAAACTTTATTTCCAGGACAGGTGGACAAACAACACATCAGATTTAAACATTCTGTTTGAAGAGGGGGGAAAGAAGAGAAGAAAACTGTATCGACAGGTCACTCACGATGGAGAAATTTCTACAGGGCAAAAGCCACACAGCAGCAGCCTTTTGTTCCACTGAAGGGTGCAGCCTGCCATATCACTCGTGGGGGAAACTTCTCAAGAACAGTGCAGCCTGCGTGGAAAGTGGCCAAACATCAAGCTGACTAACTCACTTAAGAGACAAGGAAGCAGTCACATGAGTCAGGTGACGTGCTGTTCAGCAATGCAGGAACTAGTACGCTTCTCTAACCTCTACCACCGAGAAGCCTTGCCACTGTACTACTCTGATCGTTCAGTCCTTATGAAGAAACCTGTGTCGTCAGATGTTCTAGAAAGTGTTCTGTGCTGTGAGCCGTTTGTTGCCTGTCTTCTACCAGGCTAGAAGACAGGCAGCTGGGATCCCATTACCAGAACCCTCCACACACGGAGGAGGTGGTCAGCCACAGGCCGAGCTCCTGAATGCGTTCGTGGCTCGGGTTATTTCCCAGACTCTGGCTGCTCTGTCCTGGATGTACCTGCCCTGCATGGTCCCCTGGCAGCAAGGCCCAGTGAGTTAACGTCTGTGCTCAGAGGTGAGAGCAGGGGGTAACACGAACAACTGCAGCTTGTGCAGGTGACACGATGTCAGGCTTGACACCAAGTGACAAGCCTATTTAAATGTTCAGGCTAAAAAATTCCAGCTCAGACTAACACTGAGGTACAGAAAAGGGAAAACGCGCGCAGTAAGGGTTCAAGGCACCTGCGTGAGTCAATCACACCAGGTAAGTGGGCGGGACTAGAAGAAGGGAGCTAAAGACTGAGAGGCGGGAAACAATCAAAGAATAAGGGTCAATTCAAAGTGCAGAGGGGCTGAAATGCCTCATCTGTGTTCCCGCAAAGTAATTTCACAATGAAATTGTGTCATGCTTAAAATGCCAAGTTGCCTCTGGTAATCCTTATGAGGAAGTAGTGAAGGGCCCAACATTTCAGTGTTTTTCTGTGGTAATTTCAAGCTCTGGGGCTCCAGCTCTTAGGCACAGTAGCACTAGAAAAAATACAAAAAGATAAGTGGGGCATCACACTCAGACACTGCAGGCCACACTTACGAGTCTTACACAACTGACATTCTAAGAACCCCATCTTTCCTATAAAATACATTTTACACAGTAAAATAGCTTTGGCATTGCTGACAGATCTTTCAAATTTAAATTTAACATCATCTCTCCTTATTTTCAGGTTCTTTCTACTAAAAGAGGAATAAAAACATACACATTGCTATTCTTTTCTGACAGTAACAGTAAGAGGATGCAGGTGTATTATTACTAAGAGAGGTTGCAGGGCATTAGGAAATCTTAGCAGTTTTAATGAAAGAGCAACAAATCAAAGAAAGGAAAGAAAGCACACAGTATACACCCCTGCAAATGACTGCACTTCATCTAGACTGTCAAAAGGGTGGCACAGGAAGCAAAGCAAGTCAGATCTAAGCAAGCCACAGTATAACCTGATTGCTGTAAAGAGAGGGTAGACAAAGACTGGCACAAAATTCTAACTATTGGTATTTAAGGAACCTTTTGGATTTCTGCTTTTTGCTGTAGGGAGGGCAACAGATTTGCTGGAATAAACCACCTGCTATAGAGAAGGGAGGCTTAGAATACACCAAATGACAGGGAAAAGATAACCTGGAGCTAAAAAAAAAAAAAAAAGCCTGCTGCATCTCACAGGCAGAATTTAACCATTGTAATTTGACTTACAGGAAAGGTTCTGACATGCACAAATTAACATCATTTATGGTAAGGCCGAAAATTTCAATGATCCAGCCTGCAGAACTGACACCAAGTTAAACAGCTTCTCGACGCTCCATGGCTTCAGAAGGACTCATCAGCTCTGCCTATGGAGCGCCCCAGCCCTGTCCCTGGGTGCTCTGGTTCCAGAACGGTCATTCTCAAGGAAGAAGAGGCAGAGGTGAATGATGACCAACATGGGCTTCGGGTGGTAGACGCACACTTCCCTAAGCAGGCCAGCTGTTCCTCAAGTAGGAATAAAGTCTGCACTCCAGTGTGGTGGGGGTGGAGAAGAGGAAACAGAAGAATATGCAAAAAAAGAAAAAAAAATCCCAAGCTAGATGTATCAAAAATACCAATTACTAGCTTGAAGGGTGCTAATGGACCAGACAGCAATACAAAAAAGGAGCTAAAGACAAGGGCAATGGAAGAAAGACCAAGAAGCACCAGAAAGCCACTAGGCACCTTGCAAAGAAAGAAGAGGAGAGGATCCTAAAACCGAAAGGAACATGAACTCCAGTCAGAGGCCCTGTAAGACCAGTCCACACAGGAGGCCAGCTTGGTATGTGGTGGGGAATGAACTTAAAAATACCAGTTGCGTGGTTAAGCACTTTTTTCTGAAGAGACATGCGTAAGTAACACATGGGGCACGATCAAAATCTCCTGTAGGGAAACACTTTGGGACCTTGGGTCTCATCATGCTTAGTTTTTTGTCCCAGTGAAAAGCTGCTGGTGGAGAAACGGGGAATGTCTGAGGACAGTTACCTCTGATTCTACTGGGTCTTGTCCTTCTTTCGAACTTTTCCCACTTTTCCCTGCTTTTGGTGGATCCTGGGAAACATCAAACAAAAACAATGAGTCTCAATTTTTAGCCCCCTATACACCTAATCAAACAGTTTCGAAAATTGGTTTGTAAAACTTTAGTTTCCATACCATGGGGATATCTGAGTATTCATTAAAAATATAGGCTTGTGATAACACACCTTGGTCAACACCGTCTCCATTCACAGCCTCTTTATCTGCATTTTGGTTGAAAACTTTAAGCAGACAGAAGCGCGGGGGGGGGGGGGTGAGTTGGGGGTGGGGTGGCGGTGGCAAGCCTGCAATCCCAGCTTTCAGGAGGTGGGGCAGGGGCATTACTTTGAATTCAAGGACAGCCTGGACTACGTAGTGAGTTCAAGAATAGCCGAAACAAACAAACAAACAAAAAAAGAATAGCCGGAACTACTTAGCGAGACCCTGTCTAGGAATTATTAAAAAAAAAGAAGAAAAAAAAAAGGAAACTAACAGATAACCCAATTTTACACAGCGCTTTTGATATAGGAAGGGACACCTCACGGCCCTTCCTTCTTGCCTTGAACCCCAGGAAGCTGGATTTAAGGGTGATCCTGAAACGCCAGCGTCCCATTTAGAGCACCGCTCCGAAGCAAACGCGACGCGACCCACGTTACGGCCGCCTGCGGAGTAACAGTGCATCCCGCGTCCCCGAGCCCCGCCCCCACCGAGGGCCCCGCCCCCGCCTCCACCCCCACCCTGACCCCCTCCCCGCGGCCCCGCGGCCCGGCCCGCACTCACTTTCTCCTTCTTGTTTTTATTCGGCATGGCTGGTGCGGGCCGCCGCCGCCCCCGCCGCCGCCTGCCCCCGCCGCAGCAGCGCCCTCGCCCCAGCCGCCGCGCCCGCCGGCCCGCCGCCCTTGCCGCCGCCGCCGCTGCCCGGGGACGGAGTCGTTCGCTCGCTCCTGCTTCCCCTTCTCTTGGTTCTCAGAGGCTGCGGCAGCCGCAGCGGCGGCGGCGGCGGCGGCGGCAGCGGCGGCGGCGGCGGCGGCGTCTCTCCGCCCCTCCCCCCCGGCCCGGTCCCGCCCCGCCCCCGGACCTGAGTCCCGCCTCCAAACCCGCCCCATTGCCCTCCATGGCGCCCTACCATTGGCCAACACGCCTTCACGTGCCCTAACGCTCTCCCCGCCCCCTGCGTGGCCTAGCTCCGCCCTCTCCCGCCGCCAACTCGCGTCTGGCTCTGACAGGCCAGGTGTGAGGTGGACAAGCCGGCAGGGGTAGCTGAGGCCAGTCAGGGGAAGGGGCGTATGGCTGCGATGGTAGTGACAGGGCCGTGGCTGCTCCGGAGGTGCGAGGCCAAGAATCAGGCGTGGAAAACGCACATTCGAAATGTGTGGCAACAACTTCTGCAGCCAGCGGGCCGCGAGCGGCGGCTTGTCCGTCTTGCTCCCACACCGCCGCGGCGCACGTTCGGTACTGAGGAGGCCCAGGAGTCGCGAGAGCGGCGGTTTCAGGGAGACCCGCCGGGCCCCGCCCATCGGGCTAACCCCGCCCCTTCCCGCGCCGGCCCCGCCCACCAGGTCAGCTCCGCCCCTCCCGGGACAGACCCGCCCACCCAAGGTTTCTCTTTGCCGGTTCAGTGCCGTCCAGGGTGGCCTCGCTCCCACCCTAGCTTATTCTGCTCCGCTGCACCAATGTGGTCTTATTTTATTTAATTTGGCTTGATCATAAACCATGTGAGAAAGCTGCATGATGATAAGGAGTCGCTGATTTCTCTCCCTTCACTAAGATTTCCGGAGAGATGAGTTTTGCAAGGGAAAGAGCTTAACTTTTTCATTTTCATTTTCATTTTTATCGGTACCGGGGATCGAACTCACGACCGCCTGCTTGCAAGGCAGGTGCTTATGCCGCTGAGTTAAATCCCCAGCCCCCTAAAGAGCTTAACTTTTTAAGACACTATTTGCAGAATCAGGCTAGAGCCCCTAAGGATTGGACGTGCTTTGACAGACCCGCGAGATGGTGGAAATGCATTAGAGAATCAAGCGCTAGGAGGGTGAGAGTCCCTGTGTGAGGGGCGTTGAGGTCGTACCCTGATGATCATGGGACGACACCTTAGTCTTACCGGGGCCTTAAAAATCTCTCAGCCCTGGGTTAAGCACTTTTGGTTATGCTCTTTGGATCTGTGACAAGAAAGCTGAAAGACAGAAGAGCAAAAAGAAAGATGTAAAGTGAGGGGTGTCACAGAGGTCCAGCATGTGGGATCTGTCAGCAGGTAATCAGGCAGCCCTCAGCAGCAATCTATGTAGAGGCTGTGATCAGTCTTTTAAGTGTATTAATAGTTTTATCCAAAACAAATACTTAAATCACATAGCGGGACTAAGTGGAACAATACCCTTAGTTAATTTAATAGTATTTGAGAATAAAACATGCGATTAGGAAACAGTATAAATGAGTATCAGAAAGGAGTAGCTCTGGGACTCTGGGTTTGGGGCCGTGGAATGCCATCTAAGGAGGCTGGAGGGCTTCTCTGAGGTAAGTCTGTGCCAGCACGTCCTGGTGTCACACTCCCATGTCCAGTGCTGCCCATCATCCCACTCACCAGACATGTGTTGGATACCTATTGCATGCAAGTGTAATTCCAGAGGCTCCACAGTGAGGGAGGTGGTATCCTTGCTGAGCAGTTCCCACTCTTACATGGAAACAAGAAAACCTCTCTCAGAAGGCTGTGATGCGTGACAGACCTGGGAGGACCAGGTGAGGCCTGGGGAGCGTGAAAGAACACTGAGCAGAATGTGTTGTTGTGACAAGAGAGGAGATGGAAGGGTCAAGGCTCTGTATTAAGACTGTGATTTGCCATGGAATTGACAGTTACTGTAAAATGCAGCTCAGGACCACTGACGGTTGTTAAACTGGCGAGTGATGTGCTCACCCTTGCATTTTAGAGGACAACCTGTGGCAAGAATGTGGAAAAGGAGTTGGGGTCAGGATGAAGACCGAAGACAGAGTGGCCACGTGTGGTTACGGTGCTGGTGCATGCTGGTGCAGTGTCTTCCTGGTGGGAAAGAAATGGGCCACAGAGGTCCAGCGGTGGACAAGTCCTGGCAGCAGAGAGCAGAAGTAGCCTGGCGGTGACATGGGTAGGATGCACATGGAAGGCAGGTTTGCAGGGGAACACAGTGTGTCAGTCTGGGATTTGTTGAGTTTGAGCTGAATCTGCAAAGCACAGCTAGAGAACTCCAGGCTGGTAGTGGCAGATACAGCATAGTCTAGCAGCTTTCCAGGTTAGGTGTTTATCAGGTGTGGCATGCATTTGAGGGGACACATGGGGCAGTATACCAGACATTTGCCTAGTTGCGACCAATGGAAATCATAGGAACTAGGGAAATCTGACTCAACACTGCCATGTGATGTGTATATATTTTTTGTTGTTGTTGTTGTTCTGGAGATTGAACTCATGACTTCACATTTTCCATGCCACTGAGCTAAATCCCCAGCCCCCTGACATGTATATATTGCTGGCCATTTGCCCACGTTAGAGGAAGGCATCCTGTGACCGCTGGTAGCAGATGGCTGCTGGTCACTCACAGAGGAGACTGAGTGTTGGGTGCCCTGGCCTGCACAGAATGCCAAACATGGCTATGATTCCTGCTTTCGAAAGGAGGGACTGAAAATAGGATATCAAGAGGGCATACAATGTGTGTGAACACACACTTGTGTGTGTGTATTCCTAGTCCTGTATGTGTGAGCACGTACACATGTGCCCAGAGGATACCTATGCAGGATGGCCCCACCTTTCATATTCACAAAAGCACATCCGGGGTCACACAAAACTCCACCTTTCTGGGATACTTCGAGAAGGCCCTGGTCACCAGGACTTACTTTTTCCATGTCCAGCTTCTGGAGAGGTGGGTAAAAGGTGCACTGCTTCGCTTATGTCCCCAAGTGCTGTTTGGAGGTCAGAGAGATTCCCAGAGGGCCTGCCAGCCAGATGCTGGCTGAGCCCTGCCACCACCTGCTGGGAGCAGAGGAGGTGCAGAGAAGCGGTAGTCTCAGCTGCCACCCCACCGGTCCTCTTGGCCTCTCTGCTCAGTTGCCCAGAGTACCCCGGGCCCTGGCTCTCCACCTCTGAGATGGATGTGAACCCCCTTGCCTGATACGCTGCAGCATTGGTAACATGTCCCAGGTTGGTTCTCTCCAGTGGGCTCAGCTTCCTTCTTGCTCAGCTCCTCTGGTATCAAGCAGTCTTGCATGCTGAGATTTTCAGCCATGCTACAGGTTTTAGGCACTCTGGGTTTCTCAGGCCCAACTTTGGGAGAAACCAAAATTTATTCTTATTTGGTTGGTAGCCCAGCCTAAACTTATGCCAGCCTTTGGGCATTGTCTCCCCCAGGCTTGTCTATAGATCCCCTTGTCCATTTCAAGGATCTGAAGTTCTCACTTCTCTGGACCTGTCTAAGTGTTCATGTGGAGATGTGGGAACTTTTATTTTTTAAGAGAAAATGGAAGTCCAGCTCCTCTGTCCCCCTCCCTGTACTCACTTCACTTTCACTGAAATGTCACACACAACCGCTTCTCACTAAATTCAGATCTTTTATTCACATGCTCAGCCCCGCCTCATACACTAAATGGCCTGCGGATTTAGGGTAGAGGAGTGAGAGGTGGATTTAGGTGAAATACTTTAAAATTTTTCATATATAAAGAGTGCTGATCGCAGTGCTGTATCAGAAGGCCAAAGATGCAGTGATGGAAGGCTGAACATAGCAAGTGCTAAGTAGGTTTAGTTGCTAATAAATAGACAATGATTTTTTTTCCTCAATTTTTTATATTTCTGCAATACAAAGTCAATACTTTCATCATGGGGAAATTACACATACATAGCATATCCTGATCTCTTTTACTTCTGCTTCTCCTCCCATTCCTCCTATCTCCTACATCCCCAGGTCCTTTTCCCATATTTTCAAAAAACCACCTCATTGATTCATTGATTCTATGTGTTGCTTTTTAAAGTCTCAGTCCCATTAATTTCTTCTCTGGTCTCTGTAATTGTTTTCCTTTTATTAGTTTCAGATTTGGTTTGTTTTCTTTCTAGGTCCTTTAGATATACCATTAGGTTATTTATTTGGGAATGCACTTTTCTTTTTACATGTGAATTTACAGCCATAACCCTCCCTCTTAGAATTGCTTCCATTGTGTTCCATAGGCGCTGTGCTTCCATTGCCATTTGATTCTTCTCTGATTTTTTCTGTGATCCATTGATTACTCAGTTATATTACTTAATTTCCTTATGTTTGTCTAGTTTCTTTATTGGCTTTTTTATTGTTGATTTCTGGGTTTATTCTGCTATGATCCAGTAGTATGGAGGATGTTATATCAATCCTTTTGTATTTATTTATGCATGCTTTATGGCCTAAGAGATAGTCTGTTTTAGAAAAAGTTCTATATGCTGTTGAGAAAAAAATGCATTGTTATTGGGTGAAACCGTCTGTAGCTATCTATTAAGTCCATTGTTCAGTGGTGTGGCTTAACTCTGATTTTTCTTTGTTGAATTTGTAAGTCTCCCCCCCCCCCCATGATTATATTGGTGTCTGTCTTATTCTTTTAGGTCCAATAGTTTTTGTTTTTCTGAAATTGGATACACTGACATCTAGTGCATAGACATTCACAACTTTTATCCCTCCTATCAAATTGTTCCCTTTATCAGTGTGTGGTAGCCATCTTTGTCTCTTCTGACCCGTTTGAAGTCCCCTGTATCTGCAAATAAGATAGTTACTCCTAGTTTTCAGGTTTCGGGTGAGTGGAGTATCTTTTTCCATGCTTTCATTTTCAGTCGGTATACTTTTTCATGAGGCATGTCCCTGTAGGCAATATATAGTTCCATCTTGGTTTTTATCCACTCAGCCCATCTGTGTCTTTTGAGTAGGGGGTTAAGATCATTGACATTGAGAGTTATTATTGTAAGGCATTTATTGAATCCTGTCATCACATTATTCTCTCCCTGGTGACTCTTTTATTTTTCTCCTTTTGTTTAAGTGCTTTCCCAGTTAGATGGATATTTTCCTTTGAGCTCTTTGAGGCTGGTGGCCTCCCTGTCTTGTCTTGAATTCTGTATCAGCCAGTGTGTTGTAGTTAAGATTTACAAGGGAATGTATTTAATACGGGTACGTAATTTAAAGATTATTTTGTAATATTTACCCAAAGAGTCAAGTGCAAGAGTGCAGGAGATCTGCTCACACACTAGAGACCCAAAGAATCCAGCTAATGGCTTGGGTCCAGCCAAAGACCTAGAGTTCATGGCAGTGTCCTCCATGAGTTCAGCTGGAGGCCTAGAGCCCATGACAATGTCTCATGCAAGTCTGTTTCAAGGATCTGCAGTGGGAAGGCCCAAAGATCAGTGGTGGAAGCTTGAAAGTCTATGCCAGCAGGGTGAAGGATCTGTAACCAGCAGGCTGAGCGACTGATCTGCAGTGGGTTCAGGAAGCAACA